TCCCATATAGGGAAGTAGCTATTACCGTAGGTCTCATGGAAAGACCTAGACCCGGGACCGATTTACTTTTTCGTTTTGAGGTCCCCAGAGGCCTCATATATATATATATATATCATATATATCATATATATATATATATATATATATATATATATATATATATATATGAACGGTTATATATTTATATATGTGTCCGTTAGCGCGATAACTCGACACATTTATTCGAACGAGTTCGCGAACCAGCATAATCGGACCATGGGATCAGGGGTTTATGGGGGGTTTTATTGGGTAAAAATGGGTTTTTCTCATTTTTGACCCTAAAAACTTTAAGTTTCTAAATTTCTCTCTAGACCATTTTTAAGAGCTTAAAAAAACAAATAATTTAGTATATTGAAGTTCTTTTGAATGTTCATTGACTACAGAAAAAATTTAAAAAATTGTAAATTTAAAATTCCCATGTTATTCTTATGGAGAATAAATAAAATGTTCTAGTTTGCTTGTTTATGGATATATTTTAATCAAATTTGGCAATTTGGCTTATTTCATACTAAGCTATCACTATTTCAATTAAAAAAAAAACACACCTCAACATCTTCCCCGTAGCAGCAAACCTAACTACTAACTAAAATTAATGTTATTTAAATAGGAAATAAATCTGAAAATTTATAGGGAATATCTTAGTAGAAATCAAGCCGGGTAAATGGAAATTCGCTTAGTATGCAGGTTTGCTGTGACGGGGGTAATTGCTCAAGTTATCATGCCAACGGACACGTATGTAAATATATGTATTTGAACGGATGGTGTTTATGGCCTCTGGAGACATCAAAACGTAAAAGAAAATCGGTCCCTGAATCCAGATCTACGTCTCACCATGAGCCCTACGGCGATATCATTTTCATAATGGGAAATTCACTATAAGTGCCGAGACGCGCAACAGTTCTCCTATTCACCACTAGGTGTCACCACCAAAACCATAGAGAGTTCGTCTAGTCTCCGCTAGGTGTCACTAAAACAGATCAAGCTGAATCCTTCGAAGTTTATTTATTTATTTATATTATTAAGGTACAAAAACAAATTAACATTCACCCAAAAGAAAGACGCACATTCAGAAACTACACACCAGAGGTCAATATTGCGATATAAAGCCGGGATAGTTTACTATGAGTCCTCTGTACCCTTTGACACTCGCAGGGAGTTTTGAGTAGCTAGTGTATGACTACCGCGCTTGGCTTACCTTCGCTTTAAGTAAGCCCTAAACTTCGGTTGTTAGCACTTTTTGAAAAGCCGAGAGTCGTGTCTCTTACCTGAGACCGATGATTGGCTTATTATCATCATGATCTCGTAATATGAAACGATTCAACTTTGTAGTCTGTCCCTGTCCCCTCATTTAAATGGAAGGGATGGATGGATCGTACAATTGCCTTTACGTGGCTGGTTTTCCACTCAAATATTCCCTTAAAATTGTCAGATTTTCGTATTACAAAATAAGTGAAAGTAGTTTTAATGAGTACAATACTTAAGTGTACAGGGAGGATAATAAGGGGAGTCATTGAAGTATTACCTTAGTACCTCAGTAGGTGATAAACAAATCTGACAAATTCTATCAAAATATATCCATAAACAAGCTAACTGCAATAGTTTATTTATTCATCATAAGAATAGCATAGGGATTTTAAATTTAAAATTTTTATCGAATTTCCTACATATAGGAAATAAGCTATTACCGTAGGTATCACGGTAAGACCTAGACCCGGGACCCATTAACTTTTTCGTTTTGAGGTCCTCAGAGGCCAAAAACACCATCCATTCAAATATATATATGTTATATCGAATATTGTTCACATGTAGGGCTAGTGTCATTAATATTAATAAAAAATTAACCATAGTAATCTTTTTAAAAATATTTTTAATTACTTTGCAAAAGTCATTAAATTATTAGTATATATACAGGGTGGTAATAAAGTCCAAAGACAGTTAAATATTTTACAAAATAATGTAGATAGAGCTACAATACTTGGTACAAAGTTACAAGGCATAAAACTCTATTTTAACACATATTCAGTGATCCAATAACTCCTCAGGGGGACGGCCCACAAGGAGTCGGAAGAAAATCTTAAATGGAAGCATAGGTTTATATGCCGTTGATATAGGTACAATGCCGCAAACCGCACTTCAAAAGGTTGATCCTGCGCAAAATAACAGTTGTTTAAAGATTTAAAAAAGTGTTTTTAATTAAAGAAATTGGCTAATTTTGAACATATTTGAACATCTGCAATTTTGCCCAGGATCAACGTGTGGTTTGCGGATCAGGTGCTTCTGCCTCAAAAGGTCAAGTCGCCGACAGAGAGTGGAAGAATTCCAAAAATATCTCAAGTGATGGTTTAATGATACAGTAGTCGAGGCTGGGAGTGAGAAAAAAGCTACTGGGTGAATGTCTGCAACCATTCACTGCACTGTAATAACTGCAGCTATACGAGTTAGAATGTCTAGAGTTTTTGTCCTAGGACGTTTCTCTTAGGCTATAACACGAAATCAAATTGCCTCAGGCTATAGGGGTTGCGGTATTATCAGTCTAAAATCCATTGGTGATTGGCGGGATTTGAACCCAGGACCTCAAGGACCAAAGTCCCGCGCTACTACTAGCTCCTCAAGAATGTCTAGAATGGTTTATGTAACGATTAACATCCATAGATTTAAGGTAAACTCCATACAGTAAATCTGGGTTGTGGTATTACGTTCGTTTTACAGAAATAACAGAATTAATAATGGTTCGATAGTGGAAAGTCATAAGCTTTTAAAGGTTTGAAACCCCCCAAATATACTTTGTCATTGGACTAGAAATAAATAGCACAAGTGACTACGAAATTCACGTGAATAATAGAATCTTATCAAAGGTTTAAGCAGAGCAAAAGTAAAGAACAGACGGATTAGGCTAATACGATTGAGTATATTAAACAAATAAATTAATAAACTTCACCAATTCTGTCTATGTCGAGTAAAGAAATAAGCTAAACATACTCAACATATTATTGATTGGACAGTAATAACTGAAGTCTCGACTAGTTCTCTAAATACCCCCGCCACAGCAAACCTGCTAACTAAGTGAATTTCTAAAACCAACTAAGCTTAGATTAAAATACGAGTAAATAAATTTTCCACGTTTGATCAAAATATATCCATAAACAAGCATACTAGGCCTACTATATTTTACAATATTCTCCATGAGAATAACATGGGAATTTTAAATTCCATTTTTTTTTTTATTTTCTCCGTTGCCAAAAACCGTTAAAAACACTTTAAAATACTAAATTATTTGTTTTTTGAGCTCTTTAAAAAGGTCTAGAGAGAAATTGGGACATTTGGTGTTTTGAAGGTCAAAAATTAGAAAACCCATTTTTACCCCGTAAAACTCCGTTCCCATGGTGCGATCATTCTAGTTCGCGAACTTATTCTCTACTTCCCTTAAGTAAATTGGCTAAAAGCAGAACATTATACATCACGTGTGAACGAGTAGAAGAAAACATTTCTTACTGAAAAGTATTAGTTCCAATAAGTTATTACAGTAATTGTTAAACAATCGAAACGCATTTCCAAAAGTGTTATAATCTGTCTTTGAATATAAATGGAATATTCGTTTGGTGACAATATACAACAGTGGTTCTAAAATAAATGTATAAATAACCTAACAAAAGCTATAGTAAATGTAAGATTTTAACTAACTTTCATTACAAACAATCCATATAATTAATTGTTACTATCAAGTTGTAAAAAACTAACCTTTTATTAGTGTTTACGTCTCCAATAGTATTTCTGAAGTAAACCGACACAGCACATACAAGTTCATTATCATAAACCGAACTAAAACTATTGAATTGACAACGTAAACCAAACGACACTGTTCACTTTACATCACCACAACAATACAAAGATACACGTCACTACAGGTTAATTTTACAGCTGGACCTTAGAGATATAAATTACAACAGCTGATACAACAATCAGCTGTTTAGCGAAAATGATTTCGTTGCTAATACAGTACGACATTTACGTTTTTGGAAACTTACGGCTTGCAAAATTAAATATAAATTTATAAATATTATTGATAACATTAACAAACTAAGTGGTATTTATATATTTGTCAGTTTGTGCAATAGCTCAATAATGACGCCACAAATACAAAGGATGTTATATTGTTTTATTATGTTATAATTGAAAATAATATTGTCAGTTTCAACACAGATTGTAGACCAATAATGGTTTGTCTGTGGTTTCAGGCAACAGTGACAGGCAGCGCTGTCTGTTAGTGTGAGCGTAAGTTACATACTGCCTTACCGACAGCCTGCTAGAAGAATAAGGCCACATTGATTTATGTATCCACGTTAATAGTTTTGTATAAGTTGGGTGAAATCACCGGCAATTGACCGTGTAAGCTTGAGTTTCCACTTGTATCCAACTAAGAAAATGGGCTTTTAAGCTACAGTGTAGGGAATAGTTTAAACGTCTTGTCCGTATTCCTCTGTACTTTCTAATGGTAAAAAAACCCAATGGTCATTGTATTATCATTGACTAAGTTGAAACACGTATGAGTGTTAAAAAGTACTATTTATCGCACTTAAATCTTTGCACCAATGAATGACCGCATATTATATAACATGTTACTAACAGTAGGATGATATAGCATTTCACGTTATTTGCAAACAATAACCGATATTTATTCAGGAAAATTTCAGAAAATAGCTAATCTTTAATAAATACTCTTCCGAAATCATCCTGTAAAGAAGCTATTTCTTGAGTTGCTTATTTTCCTATTTGCATATAATTTTATCATAAACACATTTTGTCCCTGACCAAAGTCATATTTTTTTACAGTATTCATAAAATTAACAACGAGTACAAAGTTAAAATACAAAATAAAAATGTTCTTATTTACTATTTCCAGATCGTGCATTTCCCATATGATCGATTCAAGCAATAAAGAAACATGTTTACAGTTTTGTTACTACTTAGGTTTTGTTAAATGGATTACAAAAACTAATAATTTTAAAACTTAGTGGAAGGCTCGAGAATTAGTAATTTTGAGATTCTAATGTTACATTAAAACCAAACATGACTCGTCGCAAGAAGTCGAACAAAATGTCGAAACGGTCGAAAGAAGAAGAGAAAGTTGAAGTTGTAAAAAATGAAGAACCGAAACGAAGTGAGGACATTTCTAATAAAATAAACTCGTATTTTAAAACCGAAGAGATTCAAGACATTCGTGGACTTTTGAACACGGAGGAGTTGGTAAGAGTTTAGTTAAAAGTATTGAAACAAGTTTTTTATCTTTTAAGTATTGCTGTGGTTCAATTTAAATTAGTGTAGTTTCTAAAGTAGTTGAGGGGATATTTTAGAAAAAGGATAAGACAGAGGAAATATTTACTCGGAATCAAAAGGGGATAAAAAACTATCCGACTACCGTTTATTAGGGCTAGTTGTATGCCTACACATGACCTCAGAGCCTTCTCTTTGTCATTACCTAGGTGCGTTTATAGCCCACGATTTACAACCCATATAGCACAAATATGTGTTATATAGGTATCAGATAGGTATCCATGAAACTTAGGATATGTATTTTTAACGTTGCAATACCTATATGATACCTTTTAAATACCTATCTAATAAGTGAAAATGTCCATCTCAAATACTATTTAGGTATCATCAATACATATCAAATATGTACCTGTTACCTGATAGAAGCCTATATGATACCTACCTTATAGGTAAAAAAACAAATTTCAAATGTAATTTAGGTACTTTTTAGGTATCATGCATGTATCAAGTATGTATGCTAAAACCCTGAAAAATATTATTCACCTGGTTTTTGATATCAGATTCAAAACTAGCACTGTGCTGAAGAATTTCCTGAAAACGTTAAGGTAGAAACTAGTTAATTCTATCTGTACACACATAAAAATACAATATTAATTTAAAAGAATTAAAATTATTGTTTTTTTTATCATTCACTTTTAGCAAAATTTTCCTATAGTAGTCTATTACCGCAGGTGGCACAGTAAGACCTAGGCCCGGGACCGATTTACTTTTTCATTTTGATGTTCCCGGAGGCCAAAAACACCATTCATTCAAATTTGTATATATATACATATATAACAATTTGAACGAATGGTGTTTTCCGTGAACGAATGCGTCCGTGAACGCGACGCAATAGCTTGAGTAATTTGTGTCCGATTTAGATTAAATTTGGCTTAAAGTTGTAAGGCGGGATAAACTTGAATAAGTTCGTGAATCAGCATGCTCGGACCATGGGAACGGGATTGTATAGGGTAAAAAATGGTGTTCGAATTTTTGACCCTCAAATCACAAAATTTCCCAATTTCTTTCTAGACCTCTTTAAAGAGCTTAAAAATATAAAATAATTTTGTTTATCAAAATATTTTTAAAGGGTCATTGGTAACGGAGAAATTTAAAAAAAATGTAAATTTAAATTTCCTGTTATTTTTATGGAGAATATTGTAAAATGTTGTAGTTTGCGTGATTATGAATATATTTTTATCAAACTTGGCAAATTTATTCATTTCATACTAAGCTATTTACAGTAATATCTTACAAAAAAATATACTTTATTAGTTTCCTTATTGCAGCAATCCTAGGCAGTCATTATAAACATAATGTCATTAAAATAGCCTTAATAAAAAATCAATTCAGACAAATAGAAATTGCTTAGTGGCAGGTTTGCTGTGGTGGGGGTTTTTATGTCAAACTGTTTAAACAATTTGGGGGATTTACTGAAAAAAATTATTATTATTTTATTCAATAATTCTGCCAATTATTAGAACTAATAACTAACAGTACCTTAACACAACTTCTTAACACTGACAATATTTAAGTTTATATTATTTGAGTCAACATTCTTTCAACAAGATTTAAATATATAGGGAACTGTACGTTCAGTGCAGTTTAAATTTAAAGATAAAAATAAAACGGAAGGTTTAAAATTCTGCACTGCATTAAATAGTCTGTATTAATAAAAGTTAACTAAAAAATATTTGATAAATTAAAGTCAGAGGTCCAACAAGAAAATCGAATTACAATTTAAACAATTTATTAAAACACATTTAAAATATACAATCTTCAACAGTCGACACAAACTAATCATTTCTCTCTTCTAGTATCGAAGAATTAAATGATCCTTTAGCCTCGATATCGGGTCCCTCAGTATCAGGTTCCAATGTCGTGTCGCTACCATCAGGTAATGGCCTGAAATAAAAATAGAGAAGATTTAAGTTAAACTAACATAGGTACAACAACCCATGAATCGACAACTTAGTAAAGATAAGTTATAAAAACAATCAAATGGAGGCTTCTCCCTAAGAGGGAAGGAGAAAAGAGCACCTTCGACTAAATGTAAGGTTCAAAGAGTGAGCAGGGCCCAAAATTTTACACTCACAATATTCACTAATTTCCATGGCACTTGACACATATTTAAATTTTTTCGAGCTTTTTTGATCCTGAGATGCCACAATTATTCCACTAAAAACCAATGGCCTACTTCGACGAGTTGTTCTTGTCCAGCTGCCTGGATGCTACAGAGCACTTTGACGAGGTACTCTCGTCACGCGACAGTGCTAGTAATTTCGGCTTTTTCCAATAGGTAGCAGCACGAACTGGGTGACTTTATGGTAATAAAAATCAAGCTATTATTCCTATCTCCTGGTTTAACCCATAGATCACCAGGTAGAAACCCTTGCCGACAGACCGCCACCGCCCACCACTGCTCGAGCGAACATCATTACCGCAACGATACATAGTACAGCAGTGCAGCCATTGGTCTCCTCAGTGGTGTAGTGGATAGCGCACCGGGCTGATAATTCGGAGGTAGCCGGTTCGAAACCTACCGGAGGCATTAACTTTTTGACTAGATTTTTTTCATTATCAGCAAGTTTGGTTGGTTTGGTTGGGTTATGATAGTTTAATTTTATAATTAAAAAATTATTAATTTATTTTGAGACATTTATAATTTTATTTTATGAACAGAATTAGGCTATTTTTGTTATTTAGTAAACCTTCATTCGATATTTTCATTATCAGCAGGTTTGGTTAGGTTATGACAGTTCAATTAATTTAAATTTAACCTAGAAACGATACATTTTGACAGCGACAGTGATAACAATTTCCCACAAACAGTTCGGCTATGCATGGTATGATGCGTTAACCCTCACCCGGAGGGTTTACTGAAACCTAGTTTAAACAGAGAAATTATTTTAGGGAAAGTGAATCTGAGGTTGAACTAAAGTTTAAACCACGATCAGAGTTTAACTTGATTTGGGGAAAGCGGCCCTTAGCCAAATAAAGTGATCTATTACTAAACCATTATAGCTAGCCTTTAGTATTTTGACTGAAAGAATAAAGAACAAAAAATATAATTTCCCCTAAAAAGAAATCGAGAAAAACACTCAAACCTCACCTATATGAAAACATTGACTACAAATATTGGGTTTTATTTTTATATAAATTAATTTTGTTATGAAATACACTCAAAAGAGCTTCAAAATGAACAATAGGATGAAAAGATTAGGCCTACATACTGGTATTTAAAGTCATTGCCAGAATAATCAATTATGCAATTACACTGTAATATTAACAACTAAGGTTATGGAATATAGCTTAGAATAGGCCTAGGTATGAGTTTACGGCCACACCGAATTCAACCTAGTTCAGTGGTTCATGTGAACTGGAGGATCTAGCGCAACACAGTCTGAAGTAGGCATATGTCCTTTATTCAGTCGAAGCGGCTGCTTTAAGCAACTAATGTGAAATGTACTTCCAGGGTTAAGTCAGTTATGAGGGAAAATAGCTTACATAAATTTGTCAATTTATGGCAATTAAGTAAATAATTATTTGGTAAGAGTGTAAGCCAGGCCCAACATTATTACGCGTTACGCCTACCCGATAGTTAAACATTTATGTCCAAGGGAAGTTGGCGCACCCCCTGTCTGCATCCGCCATTGTAGGCCAATGGATTAGGCCTAATTTGAGACCTAAGTTAGGTTTACACTAGCATTGAAAAGTTCTACACTCACAAACTTGACGTTTCTCTCTTCTTGTATCAAAGAATTAAATGATTCTTCAGCCTCGCTATCGTGTCCCTCACTATCAACAGGTTTCACTGTCCGGTCACTAATCTTCAGGTACACTCTGAAATAATAATAGAGAAAAAACAAAAACACATGAACCACTTAGTAAAGATAGTTATAAAACAATCAAAGGAGGTTTCTCCTTACGAGTGAAAGAGAAAACCACCTTCAACCAAATGTAATGTTAAGGTTCAACACGAACAATATTCACTAATTTGCATGGCATTTGACACATATTGTTTTATTTTAAGATCTTTTTTTTTGATCCTGAGGTGAAAAATCCCAAGTTTAACATGTACGGTAGTGTAAGGGAAAACTTCTTACATTTTTAGATCTATTTGGATTAAAAAAAAAGATCGTAGGGTCTAAAAATATAAAAACTAGAACCGAACTTAACAAGCAATATTTGTCGAGCATAACAAAAAAAATTAATTAATCGAGTTTCGAAAATTAATTAATACCGTACGCAAAATTGGCTATAAAACTGAAAACTTCCCAGGACTTGCGTAATTTAGTCGATCGGTTGGAGAAATACTCTACTTAAAAATGTCTTTGCATTGCTTGTTAACTTGATCAATTTTACTAATTTATTTAGGCCTATTGAGAATGTGAATGACTAGTTAATTTAAGTTTCCTCATCTTTGAGGGTATTTTTTTGAGGTGAACAGTTAATGTGTTGAGATTGTAGGTTAGTATTATAAATGAGCTGTGAGGTGTAGTCATTACAAATTACAAAGTAACTTAGTGCTGACTTTTTTGAGTCATTAACCTACTGTAGCCCAACGGCCATTGGAAATGTTATTTTTTAAACAGCTAAGCAAGACTTCTAAACCTTGTACCGATATAGGTTGGTGTATAATAAGCCTATGACTAACTTAAACGTTGCTGGGAGTGATAAGTTAATGTTGAAATGAAACGCTTTATTAAAATGCACACGCACATAAAGAGCAATAAGTTTAACTTAGGCTTCGTGAAAACAAAAACAATATAACTTACAACTTATTTGATGATTTTGTTTTCCTACACAATCCGTACCGGTAAGATATTCTTTCTGTTTTAATATCTTCAAACGCATTTAAATTACAAATGAAGAACTAACCTTGTTTTGGCAAAAATAATAGCCTATATTGGATTAGGAAATGAAACTAGCCT